ACATTTTCAGTATAGGAAAATTATTACTTCCGATACAGTACTTCCCTATTTTCACAAGATTAGCTAGAATCTCACATTGATTAGGAGGTGGGACCAGTGCGAGGGAAGAACAGATGTACCCCCTGAAAGTGTCCGAAGGATACCACTGTAGATGAGAGAGTCAGATCTAAAGAGGAGAATCATACAACTTCTGATCTAGATATACTCTTCATCCATATATGGAATGTGTAAGAAATCATGGCAAAATTGAGAGGAGCACATCCAAGTGGGAGAGAATGCAGTAGGAAAGTGACCCTAACCAGAGAAAGCTATAGTAACTCAATCCCACAATAAGAAAAGTGGGTAAATGAAGATGAGTCCCATGGTATAGTGTGTCTATGGTGCAGCAGACCATATTCAGTAAGTCAGCTACATCCAAAACCTCCTCGGGGGGTACCGACATCAAAGCGAGGGTAGGATGAGGATCATACCATCTTCACCTCAAACCCATAGATCCAGAAATTTGACATCTGGTATCAAAAGGAAGTCTACAGCATGCAATCAACTCCTGTGACTGTGAGACAGGTCGGGACCTTCCAAAGGGCAATAACATCCAAGTCATAAAAGAGAACAAGGGAGAGCCAAGGATAGAGCCAGAATAATCCCACGTATCTCTCCTGTGACCCACAACACAGAAGGAAGAAATTGATGGAGGGCTCCAAATCGAAAGGATGAACTGCATCTTGACCTCTCTCCCTGTTGTATAGTTAATCACAAATTGGAGGATATTACATCATCTTCACCGACAGAACATCACCACCCTACTCTGAACTGAACAGTTATAGCCATCTTATGTGGAACCCATCCAACAGGGTGCCTCTATGGCCGACCACCCCAGTGGCTTCTAACTAGTAAGGACTCCCATACTCCACTAAAAGAAAAGAGTTGAGAATGCATTGAAGAGCCTAGAGGTACGTCAACACCCAAAACAGTGCAATGGGTGATCACAAATACCATATTTTTAAAAGCAGACCATACTGACTTATTCAATCGAGGCATGGCAGGGATGGGCAGCTACCACCTTCTACTTTACCCATGAAATCCATGGGTGGTACAGTCCAGGAAGGGCAAATTTATGAAGCAATTATTGTGAAGTTATTCACTTACAAGTGATCTTGTGAAACACCCCATCTCAAAAGTAAGCGTGTGAAGCCATGGAATAGAAAGTGCTAGTAAACATGGCATACAATGCAGATTTAGAATTCAAGAATACCTGGTCAGGCACTGCTCGCCACAAAGTAGGATCCAAATAGATAATAATGAAGCTAGGACCCCCTGAAAGGAAAGAAATAATAAATAGAAACTTACCTAGTTAGAATCACATTGAAGTATTAAAAACGAACACAAGTGTTAGACGAAAACCTGATGAGGAAGAAACTGCAATACGGTGTAGATAAGGGGAGACGAACGTATCAGGTGTAGTACTCATGCCTGAATGAAGGAGTGCCTCCAATAGTCGACGAAGACTAGATGCTAGGGAAAAGGTAAGGATATCGAATCTGATGAGAAGACACCATAAACAAAGTCCGTGGGGAATATGACAAAGGGGAGTAAGCCAATGAGATCAAAAGCAGAATACAATTGGTGAGGGTGGAAGGAGAAAGAATAAGAATAATGAGGCAGGAGTGGGCACCAAGGAAAGAAGGCATATGGGTAACAGAATAACAAAGAGAATGGAACATACATAATAGTTGATCAAGATTGGGATGAGGAGAAAGATGGGAAATTAAAGGAAGGGAAATAAGCAAAAAAAGGAGTTACCTCCCCTAGCTACTGATGTCTTGGATAGCAAGAAAAGATCTGGGTAAAGGAGAAGAGAGGGAGTGGGAAAAATGTACGAGAAACAAGTCAGACCTCTGACATATACAAGCATAGAGAAAAAATAATTATGTTTGAAAGGTAGGTGAAACATAGAACACGAAGAAAGTGATGCAAACGAAGGTAAAGTGAAGGAATAAAAGATCACATTAATATCCCAGGTCAGAATGGTGAGCAGTCAGGAAGGAGGTTGACTAATCCAGAAGGAACATATCAACTTAATAAGGATAGGTGAAGTAAAACCTCTGTGGTATCAGGAACGAAAAAAAGGTATGGGACAAGGCTGCCCAATAACCCAAGATGAAGGGGACTGAAGACCACAGTAGAAAAACAAGGGGAGACACAGGGGTTTGATCTGCAGGACTTGTAGATTAACTGCAGAACACTTTCCATTTATGCCAATAAACATCCACTGAAGAAGAGTGAATGGAACAAGCTGAAAGAAAGCTACCTGCAAGTATAAATCCAATCTCCCTGCCAAGGAGTGAACAACAGCCAAGCATGAAGAAGTGACTGGAATAAGCTCAGATAAAAATGAAGGCACATTTCAAACTCAAGAGTTCCTGGAAGTTATAATAAATGAAAGATCACTTCGTGGGTATACTAAACATGAATGTTAAACAAAAAAGAGTGACAAAAAAAAAAAACGTCTGAGTACAAGTGCTGCCAAACAGAGGGAATCACATGCATCTCCTATTGATGGAGAAGTGACACATGATGATTTGCATGAGAGACATGTTGGAATCACTTGATTCCAATAGGAGGATGTGGAAGGCTTGTGGCATGTGTAATATAAAAAAATCGCATATATAGAAGGCAGCAATGAACAAGAATAGCTAATCTTGTGAGAGGAGGGGAGAACTGTATCGGAATTCAGAAACAACAACAACTATAACTGTACATATCGATAACATGCATATTAAAATTTAAGATTAGTTTGTAATCTATTTACATAGTATAGCAATTCAATTTATCAGTTCCAAAATGATAATTTTCAGAAACATCTATAATAATTATTTATTATTACTTCCAAAATCATAATAAAATACATACAATAATAAAACTTAAGAAATTGCACTGAGGATCAACAATTCAGTTTTTAACCCATTCTTCCAGTTGGTGCACATATGGATTCTTACTTCTAAAATCCCTGCAGAAGGTGTTGGATCATAAATTTTTTTGGTAATGTCGTCCATTGACATTCCGTTATATGTTGCCATACAGTAAACAAATTATTTCTACCTTCTATGTATCTGTTTCTCTCAATATGTCAGAGAGAACAGTACAACATCTTTCTGGTGCAGCAGCTAGTGATGCTGAAGCTGGGGAAATCCAGATTATTTTATGGATTTACTAAATAGCATTAACTCTGATGAGTTGATGTAGTGAACAGAAAAAACATTTAGAGGCCATGTATATATATATATATATATACCAGCTG